ATTATATAAAACGAATATAATTACATAATTATAATATTGACATTATTGAAGCTATCATGTAAAATAAAAATTAAAGATATATAAATAAGAAGAGATTATTAACTGATATGGGCATTTTATAGTTATTTATAAGATAACATTATACAATCTATATAAAAATCATTCAATTATTAATAATTCTATGTTAATTAATAATCTTCTTTCTAATTGACTTTTTTAAGTCCAATATCAGTATTGCTATCAATTAAATTAGTTAATTCAAAGTGCATTTCTATTCAAAATACAACACTAAAACCATTCAGATCAATTATTTTACTAGGGATTTGAAATAAAGTAGAAGTTGTATTAATGAACATTTATTTTAATCATTAATTACAAAAACGAATTAAATGAAAAGATTATATAGTGTAGCAATGTTATTATTGTTAGTTTCAGCAACTACAGTTACAAAGTAAGATATTGAATAGTTAACTAATATAGTAATTAAGGTGTTATGGATTCATATGTTAATCCAGGACTGTAATCTTCAATAGATGAATTAACATAATCAAAAATTGGACATATGGTTATTGATTTAGCTGAAGTTACTATGAGAGTTACTGGAGCTGTTGATTCATTAGTAGAAGGAGTCAAAGCCTTTGGTCGTTAAATTGAAGAGAGATTGAATTTAGAAAATACACAATGGGAAGTTGTTGAAAGTGAACATAATGCTAAAGTTATCTCACTAAGTTCATAAGCTAATTAAGCTGAATTTGATATTAATAGAGAAAAGAAAGTATTAAATTCTGAATTGATTCCAAGACTTCATGAATTAGATGATGTATTTATTATAATCATAAAAAAATTAATAGATCTTATTAGGACTTAAAGCTAAATAAACAGATAATGCATAATCATTTAAAGAAGCTGAAGCTGCTAGAAATTCATAACATGATTCATTTGTTTTAACAACTACTGAATTTACAGATGCATTAAGAAATATTGATGAAGCATTAGATTTATTAACTGATTTATTTAAAAGTGGTGAAGTTAGAGCTGCATTCATTGAAGTTACTGATGAATAAAAACATAAAGTTAATAAAGCATTAAGATAAGTTAAAGCTAATACTGAAAATTTTGGACATTAATATTCTTCATTTATTTAAGCATTAACTAATTTAACTGAAGGATTCAATTTCAAAGATAGATAAGTTTTAAAGGAAATGTGTGATTTCTTAAATAGTTTAAGATTAAATATATTTGATGCTTTAACTAAAGCTTATAAAGATGAAGACAGTTAAAAATAATAAGATGAATTAAGAAGATAATAATTAACATCTGAAAAAGCAGTATTTGATTAATAATATGCTGATTTCTATTAAGAAAGAGAAGATAAAACTGTTAGAATATCTGATGTTTAAACTATGATATCAACTAGAGAAGCTGATCTTAAAGCTTATTAAGATAGATTAAGAACTGAAAATAATAATTATTCAGCCAATCTTAAAATACATGATGATATTGTGGTATTCTTATCAAATTTATATAGTCATCTGTTTAATAAGAATTAGCAGTCTTAGCTAAAGCATTGTAAGTGGTTTAAACTCCACCATTCTTAGATTTCTTAAATGGAAGAATTGCTAAAGCATGANTACTCTTATATACTCAATATTATCAATAAACAATAATTCAAATTTTTACATCTCCCCAAGAGATTTTTTATTTTTTATTCTAATTATACTCCTAAATTTCACTTACTTCTAATTGTATTCAATTATTATACCATAATAAACCATAAACTTCCGTTTTTATAAACCTGATTCCTATCTATCATGAAATTCTTAAATAACAACAAATTTAAAATGATAAAATCCTATTCCCCTTCTAATCACAAGAATAAACTAATAGTTATACTTAAATCTATAATTTCTTTTATGTTATTTTTTTATCCTCTCATTAAATATGAGTATTCACATTCAAATTATACAAAACACTCAAATATTATATTATATAAAAAACGAATTCATCTATGGTACATCATAAGATTGTTCTCTTCGCCCTGATTTGTTTAGTTTCAGCAACTACAGTTACAAAGTAAGATATTGATTAGTTAACTAATAAAGTAATTAAGGTGTTATGGATTCATATGTAAATCCAGGACTGTAATCTTCAATAGATGAATTAACATAATCAAAGATTGGACATATGGTTATTGATTTAGCTGAAGTTACAATGAGAGTTACTGGAGCTGTAGATTCATTAGTAGAAGGAGTCAAAGCCTTTGGTCGTCAAATTGAAGAAAGATTGAATTTAGAAAATACACAATGGGAAGTTGTTGAAAGTGAACATAATGCTAAAGTTATTTCACTTAGTTCATAAGCTAATTAAGCTGAATTTGATATTAATAGAGAAAAGAAAGTATTAAATTCTGAATTGATTCCCAGACTTCATGAATTAGATGATGTATATATATTATATTAATAAATATTATTAGATTTTATTAGGACTTAAAGCTAAATAAACAGATAATGCATAATCATTTAAAGAAGCTGAAGCTGCTAGAAATTCATAACATGATTCATTTGTATTAACAACTACTGAATTTACAGATGCATTAAGAAATATTGATGAAGCATTAGATTTATTAACTGATCTATTTAAAAGTGGAGAAGTAAGAGCTGCATTCATTGAAGTTACTGATGAATAAAAACATAAAGTTAATAAAGCTTTAAGATAAGTTAAAGCTAATACTGAAAATTTTGGACATTAATATTCTTCATTTATTTAAGCATTAACTAATTTAACTGAAGGAATCAATTTTAAAGATAGATAAGTTTTAAAGGAAATGTGTGATTTCTTAAATAGTTTAAGATTAAATATATTTGATGCTTTAACTAAAGCTTATAAAGATGAAGACAGTTAAAAATAATAAGATGAATTAAGAAGATAATAATTAACATCTGAAAAAGCTGTATTTGATTAATAATATGCTGATTTCTATTAAGAAAGAGAAGATAAAACTGTTAGAATATCTGATGTTTAAACTATGATATCAACTAGAGAAGCTGATCTTAAAGCTTATTAAGATAGATTAAGAACTGAAAATAATAATTATTCAGCCAATCTTAAAATACATGATGATATTGTGGTATTCTTATCAAATTTATATAGTCATCTGTTTAATAAGAATTAGCAGTCTTAGCTAAAGCATTGTAAGTGGTTTAAACTCCACCATTCTTAGATTTCTTAAATGGAAGAATTGCTAAAGCATGAGTTAATGCAATAAATCATTATTAATAATTCATCATTATTAAGTTACCTTCTTTTTTTTGATGTCCTATTATTTTCTTTTCTTTCTTTTCTAAATTCTTCTTCCTTTTAGTAATATTTTGAGCTGTCTTCAAAACCCCTAAATTGTTAATCTAATTTCAAGAATAAAAAGTAAATAGATTAAAATATTTTAATTGTTTTTGGAAATGATTTGCATAAATACAAAAAGAAATAAGAAATATTCAAAGAGAATGATAACAGTAGAAAGCAGAATTACTTCAATATTAGAAGATATTATACATTTATTCTCTAGTTTTAATTAAAATATGACAATTTCAATCAATTATTAATTATTCATACAATTCTACACCTTCAATCAACATTATAGGCAAAAATTTTTCTTTTTAATCAATAGAAACTATTATAAATTTCATTTATAATACATATTTTTTATTGGAATTAAGACTTTTTTGAATAATTTGTATGAAAATTCTAAAGATCTTGATTATAATCCATTTTGATTAAGCAATTGCACATATATAAACTGTATTTTTAATTTTAATTTAAAAGTGATAAAATTATAAAATAAATCAGAATTAGTAGTTTTAAGCATAATCCAATTCTTCATCTTATTCATCAATATTAAGCTGTAATCCATTGGATCGACACCAAACTCGATATAGATTTTTAAATAACATAGAAACAGTCAAAGGACCAACTCCTCCTGGGACAGGTGTAATGAAACTGACTTTAGTCAGAGCCTAAAATAAAGGAATATTTTAAACTTTATGAAATTCAATATCTCCTACAATTTTATTGGTTCCTGGAATCCTAGTAATTCCAACATCAATAACTTTTGCCCCATTTTTGATCCATTCTCCTTTGACCAATTCTTTATGACCTGCACATGAAATCACAATGTCTGCCTAATGAATGATTTATATATATATATACTTTTTCTACATGTTCTTAGACTGTGGTTTCGGAATGACAAATGGTGACTTTTGCATTTCTTCTAAGAAGCAATACTGATAATGGGAATCCAACTAACTGACTTCTACCAATCACAGTAACATTTTGATTTCTCACATCTATTTCCTAGGAGTCTAAGATGTGAAGCACTGCAGCTGGTGTACAAGGTATTATGTCGTTATCCTCCCCATTTTGAAGAAGATTTTGAAAATTTGCCATGTGTAAACAATCTACATCTTTACTTGGTTTAATTTCATTAGAAATTTCTAATCTTGATAAATGAGGTGGCAAAGGAAGCTTGATATAATTATAGGATATACTTGAACAAGGATTCCATCAATGGATCCTTACTAATTTAAAGTTCTAATTTAATGAACAATCTCTTGCTGAGATATGCTCTCTGGAAAATGATGGAGTTCATGATGTACTTCATTCTCTTCACAGAGAGCAATCTTCTTACGAACATATGTTAAAGATGATGGATTATTTCCAACCTAAATAATGGCCAGACCAGGTCTCATTAAAGCAGGGTGTTCCTTAATTTTATTATTGAATACTCAAGGTGTGATAATTTATAAGCTAGGCTATTCTAGAGATGGTTTCTTTAGCTAATAAGTTTCCATTTAAGATCATTTTATTATATAATACAATAAATAATCTATATAACGTGAGAACATTTAATAATAGCAATAATCTAATAATAAATTATGATATATTCATGATAAAGCCATTTGGCTTATAAATATTTTGTAAATTTAATAGATGTGTAAATAAATTTAATGAATTATCCTTATCAGCCATATAGGCCATATTCAAGAGTACCAAATACTTCAGTACATAACCCTAATATTATCTCTTATGTTGATTCAGTACTCTCTAAATCTAGAAATAATTACACTTCTGTTCAATTAGACTCATAACCAAAGTATCAAACATACTAGACTAATACAATTAAAACCGATACAGATTTAAAAATCGCAACCAATTCTCCCCTAATTTTAACACAAAAATCNAGAGCTGCATTCATTGAAGTTACTGATGAATAAAAACATAAAGTTAATAAAGCATTAAGATAAGTTAAAGCTAATACTGAAAATTTTGGACATTAATATTCTTCATTTATTTAAGCATTAACTAATTTAACTGAAGGATTCAATTTCAAAGATAGATAAGTTTTAAAGGAAATGTGTGATTTCTTAAATAGTTTAAGATTAAATATATTTGATGCATTAACTAAAGCTTATAAAGATGAAGACAGTTAAAAATAATAAGATGAATTAAGAAGATAATAATTAACATCTGAAAAAGCAGTATTTGATTAATAATATGCTGATTTCTATTAAGAAAGAGAAGATAAAACTGTTAGAATATCTGATGTTTAAACTATGATATCAACTAGAGAAGCTGATCTTAAAGCTTATTAAGATAGATTAAGAACTGAAAATAATAATTATTCAGCCAATCTTAAAATACATGATGATATTGTGGTATTCTTATCAAATTTATATAGTCATCTGTTTAATAAGAATTAGCAGTCTTAGCTAAAGCATTGTAAGTGGTTTAAACTCCACCATTCTTAGATTTCTTAAATGGAAGAATTGCTAAAGCATGAGTTAATGCAATAAATCATTATTAATAATTAATAATCATTATATTTCTTTTATCTTCTCTCTATATTAATTTAGATCTTGTAAACTTATTTTATCAATTTTATCTTATTAATCAGACAATTAAGAATAAAGTTTATATTTTAATAATTACTTCTTTTGTCTATAAAAAAGTGGATCGAAAAAATTATAATCGATTTCTATTATATTTATATTAACAATGATTGAATCAAATTTGTATCAATATTTTTAATGAAAATTCACATATTTAGAATTATTAAGCGATTAAAAGATAATTAATGTTTATTTAAAATAGTAAATGATATTAATTTAATAGTGATTAAATTATAAAATAAATCAGAATTAGTAATTTTAAGCATAATCTAATTCATCATCCAATTCATCTATATTGGCTTTTAATCCATTAGATCGACACCAAACTCGATAAAGATTTTTAAATAACATAGATACAGTCAAAGGGCCAACTCCTCCAGGAACAGGAGTGATGAAACTAACTCTAGGAAGAGCCTAGAATAGAAAGTTATTAAAACTTTGTTGAATTCAATATCACCAACAATCTTATTAGTTCCAGGAATTCTAGTAATTCCAACATCAATAACTTTGGCTCCATTTTTGATCCATTCTCCTTTAACTAATTCTTTATGACCTGCACATGAAATCACAATGTCAGCCTATAGAATGATTAAATAATATATATACTTTTTCTACATGTTCTTGAACAGTTGTTTCAGAGTGGCAGATAGTGACTCTTGCATTTCTTTTAAGTAAAAGTACAGATAATGGGAATCCAACTAACTAACTTCTACCGATTACAGTAATATTCTAATTCCTCACATCTATTTCTTATGTGTCCAATATATGAAGTACTGCAGCTGGTGTACATGGTATTATGTCATTATCCTCTCCATTTTAAAGAAGATTTTGAAAATTGGCCATGTGTAAACAATCTACATCTTTACTTAGTTTAATTTCATTAGAGATTTCTAACCTTGATAAATGAGAAGGTAATGGAAGCTTTTTATAATTATATGATATACTTGAACAAGGATTCCATCAATTGATCCTTATTAATTTAAAGTTCTAATTTGATGGATGATTTCTTTTTGAGATATACTCTCTGGAAAATGATAGAGTTCATGATATATTTAATTTTTCTCACAAAGAGCAATTTTCTTACTAACATATGTTAAAGAAGATGGATTGTTTCCAACCTATATAATGGCTAAACCAGGTCTCATTATAGCAGAGTGTTCCTTAATTTTATTATTAAATACTTAAGGTGTGATAATTTATTAATTAGACAATTCTAGAGATGGTTTCTTTAGCTAACAAGTTTCCATTTAAGATCATTTGATTATATAATACTATAAATATATTATAAAAAAGGAGAGAACATTTAAATATTGCAATTATTCTATAACAAAATGTGATATATTAACAATAAAGCTATTATGAGTTATATATATTTTATAAACATAATAGATGCGTAATTAAATTAAATGAATTATCCTTATCAGCCATATAGACCATATTCAAGATTACCCAATTCTTCAATGCATAACAGCAATATTATGTCATATGTTGATTCAGTGCTCTCAAAATCAAGGAATAATTATGCATCTGTGTAATTGGAACCATAAAATAAGTATCAAACTTAATAAACCAACTCAATTAAAACTGATACAGATTTAAAAAATATAGGCAATTCACCTTTAATCCTTCCATAGAAATCCATGGTCATTTAACCTACTTTGAAATCTAAATAGGAATACTCATCTCCGAAAAAAGTGGAATCATAATCCTTTTAATAAGATATCCCTCCTGTAATCCCTCTAATTCCCTTAATGTCTGATGTTAGAGAATAATATACAAAAGTATAAAGTTTATTAAACACAAAGAAATAAGTTTCAACTCCTGTTAGTTAAATAAATTTTCCAATGAAATAACCAGAAAAACCAAAAGAAAAATATAAGAATTTTACAATCATCAAAAAACTAGGAGATGGACAATATAGTGAAGTGTTTCTTGCAAAACATACATAAACAGGTTTTTTGGTTGCCTTGAAAGTGATTCAAAAATCTTAAATTATTAAAGAGAATATGTAAGCCTAATTAGCTTGGGAAATCAAAATACAATATCTTCTCGAACATCCAAATATTACTAAATTATATACTTTCTTTTAAACTCGTAAATCATCCTAAATATTGTAGCTACTGAAATTGTACTGGTCTTAGAATATTGTTCACATGGACAATTAAATACTCTTTAACAAATGTAACCTATGAAAAAGTTTTAAGAGAGAATTGCAGCTTAATATGTATAACAAATTACTTTTGCATTAATGTACATTCATAATTAAGATGTAATTCATCGAGACATCAAACCTGATAACATTCTTTTAAGTTTTGGATTGGTTAAATTAGCAGATTTCTCCTTTTGTGTATATTCTCCTGACGAAGATAGATAAACATAATGTGGAACTATTATATATGCTTCCCCTTAAATATTAGAAGGAGAAACCTATGATAAGAAGAGTGATATATGGGGATTAGGAGTATTAACTTATGAATTATGTTTTGGTAAACCTCCTTGGAAAGAGAATTAATAAGAATTAATGAAAACAGTAAGCTTTTTGTTATATAATCTTAGGCTTGTTTCATGATTCCATATACAGCATCAAGAGATTTAAGGGATTTCATTGAAAATCTTATGAAACGACTTTCTCGAGATCGATATACTGCATAATAAGCATACAATCATGCATGGCTCCAAAGAATTGCATAGATTATGCCCTATTATATAAAAAACAATGAAACTTTATTTTTATGAATTATATATTTTATTTATTTTATTTATTAAAATTCTAAATTTTAAATGATTTACAATATTTCATTTGTTCTTCTATCAGAAATCTTCATGTTATTTAATCGATGATGAACTTTTAGAACTTAAAGCTAAAGCTGGATATATTTTATTAGATGTCATAGGATATCCTGGAAAATTATGATAGAATATAATTTCAGATGATGAAAATTTTTCATCTCCTTTAAGTTAAGTTGCTTAATTTGGTTAATTATAAAATCCAGGATGTTGATGAACAATATTCATTAAATAAGTTTTAATTTTCTAGTATCTTTTCTTAACTCTTTCTTATTATTGACTTCTATTTGTTAGTAATCTATTTAAGAAGATATTTTAATTAACTAAATTAGGAAATTTCGTATTGATTTTATCTCTAATTTTATCCAATTTATCTTAATGGTCCTCTAATTGAGCCCATAAGATTTACCAAACAATGATAAAAATAAAGATTGCATTAATTACAATCAATAAAATGTAAAATGGCCATATAATCTCTTGATTATCTGATTTATTAGCTTAATAGATTGTCATTCCCATAACTATTGAAGTACCACAAACTAAAGTCAATGCTTCATCTAAAACATTTAATGATAATAATTTATATGGTTTCAATTTCTTTGTCAACAATTAATAAACAAAAACTATCATAAATATTAAAGCTCCTTTAATAATAATTTAATCTTCATAAAAAGTTAAAAAAACAATCATAAATCCTTTTTAAAAGATCTTAATTATTTCCCAAAAATAAGCCTTATGTTGATATTCATTATACAAATAACCCCAATTTTTTCTTGTATTCTCATCCTCTAATTTAAATCTCTGTCTATATAAACCTAAAAGCATATATATTGGAATAAACAATCCTAATATTAATGCAGATGGAAGAACAAACCCTGTAACCCATTTTATATGTTATTAAGTTATATACTTATAGGCAACATTACCCTAAACCCAATAAATTCCAGATATACTACGGAAAGATAATAAGGAAATGAATCCACCTAGTAAGGTAGGCTATAAGTATGTAAATAAGTAAATTGCTGTTGTAGTTATAGCACTTTTATTAGATGAAGTGATATGAAATAGTACAGCTAAGACATATAACAATATAAAGGTCAAAATATAAATGATAGGCATAATCAAGGCCCAAATCATTCTAAAATATATGATATTGATATCTGTAATATTGGCTAAAAAACAATCCAAAGAAAAGCTCATAGCTTCAACAGGATTTCCTACTGATCTTATTGTAGATTATAAAGCACTTGGTAATTTGAGTTGAAATAGAGCAACTGCTCCTATGATTTAGAGATAATTAGTTAAAACTTTAATTAAAACTCCTCCATGTCCTGCTTTTTAATCATATTAATGTGATTTAAATCTGAACAATTTGCTTTATGCTACCATTTTTTCTACTCCTTAGATTGTTCCTTTAACAGATAAGAATATAGAAATCATTGTCCAAACACTAATTAATATAATTTTTAATGTGTTATCTCCAATATCATTACAACTTCCACATTTATACTATGAACTAATAGAGTATGATCCTTAACCTCTTATATTATAAATATCACATTATTCACAAAGAGCTCCAATATGAGCAAAATCACAAAGTTAATCTCCAGGATCCCAACCTCCAACACAATTTTCAGGTAAATTCAAGCAATATTCAATCATTTCATTACTTTCTGAAGGTCTCCAATATTCTGGCCTTAACATAATTCTTGCTGGAGTTACTTTCTCCATTCTAATTTAATCTTTAATCTAACATCTTTCACCAGCAATTACAGTATATTAATCTTATGTTGAATCACACAGCTTACATTTTCCATCATCTGTCTTATACTCACCTCTTTAACATTAAAATGTTTATAAATTAATCCATAATCTATAATTAGTAAAGAAATTCTTGAATTTATATGGAGGATCTTAAGAAAACTGAGGTATTTTAACAGAATCACATATAATTTCTAATTAAAGATATCCTAAAGCATTTAAATCAGGTTCAAATGTAACAATCATTTAATCTAAATTATAATCTTGGCTGGTTGAATTAAAACTAACATCTGGAAAATTTGTATAATTAGAATAAAATGGTCCTTTTTAATCATTTAAAATT